CTCTCATGAAACCCCTCAAGTTATCATTGAACCCTAGGAAGCTATGGGATGCAGTTAGGAAAACTCTATAGTCTAGGATATTGTTAACCTAGCATCATGAGATGAACAACAAAACTGCCTCCCTTCATAGCAGTCTCATACCAAATAATCCCTGTTTTCCTGAGTCAGTGTTTCATAACCTCAGCAAATTTATGATGTGTGGACTTCGACTCCCAGAAGTCCTCAGCCTCACATCCCCAGGTATCATGTGGTTAGGAAGTTCTGGGAGTTGAAGTCCACACATCTTAAAGTAGCTGAGGTTGAGAAACACTGCTGTGGGTTTTTCTCCTTTCCACCAAGTCTCTAAGTCATTAGAGAGGAACCAAATGGAGGAAGTCAGGGATCCTTTGCCTTTCTTCCACCTGCCCTTCCCTCCTCACTTCTCCCACAGCAATTTCCATTGGCCTCAGCTCCACCTTCAGGTGAGCACATCCACTTTGCCAGCTTCCTTTTGGAAGTAAGGAAAGAAGAAGAAGGTGAATGCAGGGATTTTTGAAATATAGGTAGTCCTTGACTTACAACAGTTTATTTAGTCACTGTTTGAAGTTACAACGGCACTGAAAACATGACTTACAACCAATTTTTTATATCTGTGACTATTGTAGCATCCCTATGGTCACATGATCAAAATTCAGACACTTGGCAACTGACTCACATTTATGACGGCTGCAGTGTTATGGAGTCATGTGATCAACTTTTGTGACCTTCTGACAAGAGAAAACAGTGGGGAAGCCAAATTCACTGTTCAGCCAGGCTACTAACTGAACAACTGCAGTGTTTTACTTGACTACTGTGGCAAGAAAGATTGTAAAATTGAGCAAAAGTCACTTTACAACTGTCCTGCTTAGCAACAGAAATTTTAGGCTCAGTTGTGGTCATAACTGGAGGACTACCTCAGGGTGGAAGGAAAGCACATTGCTGGGTCCCAATTCCCTTCACAGTTGACAGTTAAGGAGATAGTTTCTCTTACTTAAAAAAAAAAGAAGTCAAAAATCCAATTCAAATATTCTTTCCCACCCCCGAACCCCAATGCTAAAGAAAATCTATAAGGCAGGCTTTCCTCTGTAAGGTGAAATATCTCAAATTTAATTAAAGGAAAGCTCATCCTGTTTTACCTCCCTTGCCTGGACTGTTGCAAAAAACAAGAACTAAGTTTCCTCAGAACCACATGGCTTGCATTCCTTCAGTCCTTGGATTCAGAAAAAGATGCACACCTAGATGTGCTGCCCTAGAAAAATCTCTTTTTTTGCTTCAGAATTATCCTGGCAGATAAGCTCTACAGGGCAGTGGACCCATCTTCCTTTGAACTGGTGGTTTAGATGGGCGTTTTCTAAGAGTGTACACTTTTTGTCATGCTAGAGGGTTTTTTCCCCCTTCTTTTGTTAGAAGGGTGGAGTGGGGGAGGAACCATGATTAAGTAGCCATCTAAAACTTGCAGCATATCTTTTCACAAACTGTGGTTGAATTTAGCATATGTAAATGCTGTTGAATTCCAGGGATGCCTTGCTTTGTGGTGAGACTGATTTTAATCTCCATGTAGTCTTGCCAGAACTCAGTATCAATACAAATGCAAGAAAGTGAAGCATGTGACTTCAAGCTGTATCTTGTTAGTTTAAACAGGCTTTGAAGACCAAGATACAATCACTGCTGAATTATGGCATTGCCTCTCCATGAGTTTTGTTTCTCCAATTTTCAGATAATGAGGGTGCTTGCAACTTATATAGGCTTGCCCTTAAAATCTGGATTTAATTACCTTTATTATTAGCTAGCAGCAAGTTAACTCTATCATGCTTTTCCAATTCTTATCAACTGGAAAATGCAAGTAGCTATAAAATGAATGAAGTGAAATGAGATGCTTTATTTATTGCTGTATTAATGGAGTGCCATATTGCTAGTGTATGCAATTATACTATAAAGTTCATCCCATACCTTTTGATGGTATTTATTTGACTTCCCATTTAATTTGCAGAATTCACCCTGGCTAATCAACACTACATCATTATGGCACCTTAAAAATGAAAGAACAGATAATGTGCCTGCTGCTGTTCATCTAGTGAGATGATACATTTGCTGATAAAAATTGTTAAAATGTTTTTTAATTGGTCAGTTAAATGTCTGTGAAGATTCTCAGTCATCCAGGTCATGGTTGTCTCAAAAGTGCTTTTTCAAGAAGCAACTGGACTTTCTTGTTTTTCTTTGAAGACGTTTCGCTTCTCATCCAAGAAGCTTCTTCAGCTCAATTGGTCAGCTAGTTGTTGACAACATCTGGGCTTAGGAAAATCAATAGTAATTAGGTTATTTTCATATAGTTCTAAAGCTATGCAGGTGTCTAGAACCAAAGCAAGTTGTCCAACTTGCATACTATCGGATTTTGACACCTTCCTTTTGGGGGGGGGGATTGTAGCAAAGTCTGGATTGTTGAGTCAAATGAAGCATCAATACCATTGAATGACATGTTCAGTATAGAGAGGCAGATTTTTACAGGCTTTACTTTATACTATTTATAAAGATTCCCAAACTCAGGCAATTCTGGAATGCTTAATCTGTTACCTAAAATTCCAGCTCCTTAAATCCCTGTGGATATAATGCAAGGACAACAGTTTGAGGGAAGTTAGCCCAGAGAAGGAAATATTAAAAGGGAAGGAAAATATATTTTTCTCCAAAAGGATTTTTAAAAGCATTTTTTTTGAAAAGCGGAAACCAAATCTCTCTGGCCTCAAATCTCTGCCCCAAGCAAGAGCCAGCCCTATACAAATGCAGATGTAAAACCATCAGAAGGTTGGAGCCAGGAAACTCAAGAAGACAAAGAAACTCTTAAGAGTCATTAGCCCAGCCCCAGGGAAGCAGGAGATGACTTTTGGGACATAATAGGATTAAACCACAGATACTAAGGCCTAGAAAAGCACTCTGACTCAGTTCAAAGTTCATGCCACAGAAAGAGGAAACTATTCCAAACAAAAAGCTAGAGAGGGTATAAAAAACCCCTTGCCCATGTGCTCAGCCCTTCTTCTCTCCTCTGCTCTTTCCTGAAGAACCATCTTTCTGCTTCTTCAGTAAACTGTAACCATCTTCCCAAAGCAGTCGCCATGTTGCTTATTTATTCCCGGCTTGGATGAACCAGGATGAAGACTTACTTCTAACAAGTTGATGATATTAAGTTATTTTAGTAGCATTGCTCAACCATAGCAACTTGAAGATGTGTGGACTTTTTCTCAGATTTTCCCAGGCAGCCATGTTAGCTGGGGAATTCTGGGAGTTGAAGTCTGCAGGTCTTCAAGCTGCCAAGGTTGAGCAATACTGAATAATTGTGATGAGAAAGTTTATAGCACTCAAGATCTAGATCAGGATTGGCCCAGATATGTCATTCTATTTATTCTGGAGCCCCAGTTCCTCTCAATCTTGGACAGCATGGCCAAGAAGGAAAATGATGGGAGCTAGGGCAACAATCTTTGGAAGGTCACATGTTCCCTGTCCCATCTGAAGTGGAATATGCATTACTCCATTTCACAATGCAATTAACTAGTCTTTCTGCATTTCAATGACTTCTACTTTCTTCTTTGTGGGGTATAGAAATTTCATCCTCAAAGTCACAATTGGCACAACTGCTCAGGCCTATTTATTTATTTTTGTCTGCAACCTTTTAAAACAGATTTTAAAACAGTAGATCCAGGAGTTTTCAGAATTATAGTTAATATTTGTGTTACTTTGGACATATCAATAACTGGCTAGAGTCTTTTTCAAGGAGTATACAATGTAGATTGGCATCCACAATAGGCATAATCTAGGTAGTCCTCAATTTTTGACCACAATTGAGCCCAACATTTCTGTTGCTAAGTGAGACATTTGTTAAGTGAGCTCTAGCCCATTTTATGATCTTTCTTGCCATAGTTGTTAAGTGAATCACTGCAGCTGTCAAGTTAGTAACATGATTGTTAAGTGAATCTGACTTTCCCATTGACGTTGCTTGTCAGAAGATCACAAAAGGTGATCATATGACCTTAGGACACCGCAAACGACATAAATATGAGTCACTTGCCAAGCATCTGAATTTTGTTCACATTGTTGTTGAGGCTACTAAAATCACTTGATATCATCAACTGTTGTCCTTGCATTATATCCACAGGGATTTAAGGAGCTGGAATTTTAGGTAACAAATTTATCTGTGTTCTCAAGGTCACCTGAGTAGTGCAAATGGGTGTGGAGCCTTCTTGGAACTGTTGAAAGACCGAATAGTTCCATGAAGGCTCCACACCCATTTGCACTACTCAGGTGACCCTGACAACACAGATAAGCCTCCAGGTAGCCTCAATGACTCTCTAAAAGAATGCAAATGACCAGTTGTCATGCAAGGAGTATAAATCCTTCCATTCCCCACCATCCAGTCAAAGGTGAAGAAACTTCTTGGATGAGAAGTGAAACATCTTCATAGAAAAACAAGAAAGTCCAGTTGCCTTGTGAAAAAGCATCTTTGGGACAATTATGACCTGGATGACTGAGAATCTCTATAGATATAACATAAAAAAGCAAAGGCTTGAAAGCAGCAATCCATTAACATAAGCAGAAACTAAACAACAGATTTTACAGCAAGAAACTCCAACAATATCTTGATGATAAACTAAATCACATTGGAGGAATACTCATATAAAGAGACTTCAAAGGCCAGAAGGAAATTAAAAAAAAGTTTTGGCTTTTTTCTGGAGCCACATTGACAATGAACAAGATCAGTTTGATTACGAAAGAACAAAAATCATTGGTCATGCCAAAACCCGCCACACATGTGAATTTATTGAACTCTGATATTCTACCAAAGGAGCAATTAACAAGCATATTGCTGTAGATCCAGCATATGAGTATGTAAGAAACCAGACCATCTGAATGGCCAATCAGTAAGAGAACCAATCAGCTGCTCAGAATTTAAATATAGCTCCAAACGAACAACCAACTGACCACACTGGCATACAAGACTAAACTAAAGAAGAATAGGACAAGAAAATCCCACTGAAGATGTTTGCCTAGTCTGGTAACAAAATGTTTGGGAACTAAATGGAAATGAGCTTGGAGAGCAAACCTCTGCCAAAAACTTTGATTAGTGTCTAAAAAATAAAAACTGTGATCCTATTGATTATTAGTTACAGAGAGCCTCTTTTAAAAAGGAAGTACTCCATAGAGTGAGGCTATTACTGAAAAGACCCACTTCTTGTTATGAACATATGATGGTGCAAGCAGACTGGTATATTGTCTCAATCTCTTTGAGGAAAAAATGGGATAGAAAGATAACCAACAAGAGCCTTTCAACCCAAGAAAGAAATATTTTATCTTAGCGAATGCCTTATGACTACTAAATCCAGGGTCTAAAATTATTGAGCTATACCACTGACTTGGAGAGAGTTAATTCCATTTAAATCATCCTATTTATGAGTAGGTGGTGTATGAGCAGCACAGGCTGGCATGTGGGGCGTCTGAATCTGAGTGGCTTGCTGTGCACAGGGGAATCAAGCAAGTGTCAAAGTGTTGCCACGTATAATATTACAGCTTCTGATTTCGCATTTACAGAGGAGGGAATGGGGGGAAGGAAACATGGTGTTGTTGAAAATAGCCACATATTTTAATGCTTCTGATATTTACTGATTTATAGTTATGTTTTCAACTGGAATCTGGCCTTTCCACTACAAAAAATACTCCAGAAGACTGTAAACTTTCTATTATTGCATCAGAGAGGAATTAGAAAGTTGGACTAAGACTGGGGAGAGCCTGGTTCTAAATTTCACATGACCCCTCAGATTACACCTTGGGAGTTATTTTGAGGATAAACATATCTCTATCATAAGTAAGCAATTTATGCTCACTTCCACAGAATTTTTCTTCTTTAGTGAAGCAAACGCCATCACTGCTACTGGCCTTGAAATATAGGAACATGCTAAGCTCATCACCAGTCTATCAGTACTCTTTTCTGCTACCTAACAGGAGAAAGGAAAGAATACCATTTATTCTCTGTCCTGAGCTGTTGAGAGAAGACAAAGAAAAGAAATGACTGCTGTCCTCCCCATCCTGCAATGTTATGTTAGGAAAATATGCAGGAGACAGAGGTTGCATTTGGTTTTCTTTTAAAAAGGAATTATCTAAGCTACCATGCCACAATCATTGTATTGCAAATAAAAGTTGTATATTAGTATGTCAGTAGGTTGCAACCAGATCTTTCTCTGTACTGTTGGTATCTACTGCTATAGAAGCTGCTGTTAGGCTGGGGGATAGAAAAAGCAATAGCAACAGCAATAGCACTTAGACTTATATAGTGCTTCATAGTGCTTTACAGCCCTCTCCAGAGTCTGTATATTGCCCCCAACAATCTGGGTTCTCATTTTACTGACCTCAAAAGGATGGAAGGCTGAGTCAACTTTGAGCAGGTCAGGATCAAACTGCTGGCAGCTGGCATTCAGCAGAATTAGCCTGCAATTCTGCATTCTAACCACTGCACCAGCATGATAAATCCTAAATATTGCAGTCAAGCTTTAGAAGCTTTTTGTCCAAACACAGCTGGGATTGGTTGTTTCCACCTGTTTTTTTAGCAAGAGAGAATGCTGGGCTGTTTGGCTTTTTTATTTTTATTTTTTTTGTAACCTCCTTGAAATGGTATGGCTGCCCTGAGTCCCGGAAGCAGGAAGAGACAAGAGTTCCCAGCGTTGTGAGAATGATCTGGTAGAGGCCAGCTTTATTTTACAAATGAGCCAAAAATCATCTGGTTAGCTGAGAGTAGAACCACATTTTTAGTGGTACAAAATTCCTATGTATGTTACAAAACTCTCCTGCAAATGAAGCAGAATTCAAAACAAAGGTGCCAGCCTATACGATGCCACAGCCCTACACTCCCACTTTTTAATGTGGCTTCCCCTCTGGGATTTAATTTCTATATTCATGCATTTATAGAGCAATAGGGAACTTCTCAGAAGCTGGTTTGTATTTTACCAATGAAAATAAAATAGTGCTGTTATTTTTCTTTCCTTGGTGTCTCATTTTTCCTTCCTTACTGGGGAAAAAAGATTGTTCTTCTTCCACCCTCTTCAACAATTTGTTTTCTTAAAAGGCAACAAATCTTATTCCCCAATGGTTGCTGTCTGGGGAAAAGTAAAGACGGCATATATTTTTTTAATGTTTCTTGAAGAGACTGGTGCACAGCTATGTTTTCTGCATGCTATTGTGTTGAGCCAGAATGTTTTCATCCTTACTGGGCGATAAATTGCCAATACTTATGGGGAAGGGAACTGGGAGAAAAAGGGAAATTGGCTCTGGGGTTGGTTACACCTCACATCCCAAAATTCCACATTCCTTGAAAGACCCACTTAGGGTCTTGAAAAACTGCTGGCAAGTGCAGTAAACTAGACTGCTTTAGACTAGCTTCCTCCAGTTATTGTGGATGGGCAGGATAGAGATTATAATTCAGCACATCTGGAAGGTGCCAGTTTGGCAAGGATTGCTTTAGACACAGTAATGTTCTAATCCTTCAAACTAGCCAAAAGAAATGGGAGAAAATGACTCCTAAAATATCAGCCTCCCACTGGCCCTGTTCCCTGCAGCTCTCAAAGGAAGACAAGAACTGCAGGTAACAAACATTATAGGGGGTGGGATGAAGAATTATTAAATTTATTTATACTTGTGATGAGGGCTGGAAATCAGTTTTTCATGTATGTCTTTTTCTTTATTATTTTTTCTTTTTCTTCTTTCTTCTGCTCTTTTCTTACACTTTTTCTTTCCGTTCTCTTCTTTTTCTCTAAGTTTAACTGGTAGTCATTTTTACTATTGTAATTAAAATTCTTAAAAAAATATGTTTGAAGAATTGCAGGTGAAAAATATTGCCAGTCTTTTGCCAAATTAAGTATAAATCTGATCTGCATACATCTGAAAAATGCTTTAGAAATGGCTGTTTCTAAATACCTGCATATCTTAATTTTGCCCTTCATTCCTCCCTACATTCCACAATTTTTTTTAAAAAAAGCCAGCATTCTTTAAATAGCATTTTTTAGAGTATCCGCAAAGAGATTGGCCCAATGCCTGCAATTCTCCTATTAGCAGCAGCTGTTCTTGGGGGGTCCAATGGCTGATTGTGTGCTAGGTGCAGAACTGAACTGGCAGTTGGTTTTGTTTTTTTTTTTTACCAGTGACCTGGGAAAGTCATTGCTGGGTCATGGAGAAGAGATGAAGATCTTTAGCATTGACTTGTAGGTTGGCAAGAGGGGGAAAAGATCAATTTAGAGAGAGGATTGATTGGGAATTGAATTGGTTATTCATTCATGTATGAGAAAATGGATGAAAAATATTCTTTAATAAATCTATAGTATGCTGACACTTAGAAGAGTTGCCCTTTCTCAAAAGCATAGTGAACAGGAGTTTTCATGTCTCGATCTGCAGAATGGGCAAGACATGAGGTTCCAGAGTAACAGTAACAGAGTTGGAAGGGACCTCGAAGGTCATCTAGTCCAGCCCCCCTGCTCATGCAGGAGACCTATACTATTTCTGACAAATGGCTGTCCAGTCTCTTCTTAAAATCCTCCAGTGATAGGGCACCCACAACTTTCTAAGGCAATTTGTTCTACTGGTTGATTGTTCTCACTGTTATGAATTTTCTCCTTACTTCTAGGTTACTTCTCTCCTTGATTAGCTTCCCTCCATTGTTTCTTGTCTTGCCTTGAGATGCTTTGGTAAATAAGTTGGTCCCCTCTTCCTTGTGACAGCCCTTCAAGTATTGGAAGACTGCTATCATGTCACCCTGGTTCTTCTATTTACTAGACTAGGTATACCCAGTTCCTTCAATTGTTCTTCTTGTGTTATAGCTTCCAGGCCTCTAATCATCTTTGTTGCTCTTCTCTGAACTCTTTGCAAAATCTCAACATCTTTTTTTGTATTGGGGTGATCAAAACTGGATGCAGTATTCTAAGTGTCATCTTACTAGGGCTTTATAAAGTGGCATTATTACTTTGTGTGGTTTTGATTCTGTTCCTTTATTAATGCAACTTAGTACTGTATTAGCTTTTTTTTTTTTGCTGCTGCCACACATTATTAGCTCATGTTTAGATGGTTGTCCACTAGGACCCCAAAATCCTCTTAAGAACCTCACAGATGGTCCTCACAGTTCACAAGATCCACACAGATGTGTGACAAGAAGTTTACCCCTTCTCACACATCCGTGCCCCAATAGCAGAAGCAGTGCCTCAACTCAACCTTTGACCTAGAGTGATGTGTCATGAGATAAAGCTCCAAAGATTCTAATGCTTGGAGACTCTCTGCCGGACACATAAAGCTGCTCTAAAGACTTTTGCTTGGAAGTGCGACACAGTAGCTGCTTCTGTTGTCAGATCAGGAATCCAGTGGATGGAATTGTGGTTCACTGCTTTGTTCTGCCAAATAATAGGACTGATCCTATTTTGCAGGTAAAATCCTGTATACATTCTGTGACTAAGCCCCTTCTCCTTTCTGAGGGCAGGCAAGAGAATATTAAGAAAAAGAAAACGGGTTATTTATTAACATCTAACAAGATTGTTTGGGTGGGAGATGGAGCTCATTCTTGTCTTTTTTCAAATACTGGATTTTGACTGTTTTACATTTTGAAACCAATACTGACCTTATGCTTCTCAAGGTTACTCCCGATTACTTTCAGTTAATGCTTAATGAGAGTTTTAAAAGCTTGGAACCCAGTTTCTTATATTAAAGCAATGGCCAATTCTGCATGCAGCAAAATTGTTGGAACATCAGCTGAAAACATTAAAAAAAACCCTTCTGCTATTCTAATCCACTTGTTGTGGCTTGTTTTGTCTTTGGAAGGAAAACATGGTTACAACATTGTTTGCCTTAGCTATTCCAGGTAGTGGCTTTCAGTTCCTGGATTTTATTTTGACTTCTGGCCCATCTTATTTTTCTAAACATTTCCTATTCTTAATGCTGCAGGAATTACCACCTTGTACATCTTTGCTGTGATGTGCTAAATTCTGTGTTTACTTATGTTTTAGTTTGCTGTGCATGGAGTCTCTGGAAAACCTTGCAAGAATTCCAAAGGTAATTTTTGATAAAGATGAGCCAATACTTAAGGATGTGTCTAATTATTTTTATAAATACATTTAATCCCCAACTCCTTTAAGTTTCTTCTACTAACCTGTTTTATCTCCTCTTTCAGTGACAACTCATATTGCTTTTTCCTCTTTTTCTTAGCACTGCTTAATTTCAAATCTTTCCTCCTCTTGAGGCAGCTTGGAAAAACATCTGATGTGATTAGGAAGCCATTATATCATTTTTGTTTTTTCGTTTAATAAAGTCAGATTGCTTTGACGTGTAGCAAGGAAAGAACAGCTCAGAAAACAAAGCATTAATCTTGAATATTTTGGTATTTTTCTCCTTTTCTTGCTTCTTTTCCCACAAGAGTTTTGGGTGGCAAGATTTATCAAAAACAGTTCTTGGGACTAAATGATGTGAACCAGTTTAAAAAATGGGAAGAGATGTCCCACAATAGGTGGGAGTTCTCAACTCATCGTCTTTCATATGATTTTATAGGCATAACCAGGAGGCCATTTGAAGAAGAAAGGAGGCAGACTCTGAGGTCAACGGAAAGCTCACATGAAGTATTGGTACTGCTTTATGAAGTAAGTAAGAGCACACCTGGAATATAGCATCCCGTTTTGGTCACCACATTACAAAAAAAGATATTGAGACTTTGTAAAAATTGCAGAGAAGAGCAACTAAGATGATTAAAGGTCTGAAGACAAAAACATATGAAGAATGGTTGCAGGAACTGGGTATGGCTAGCTTAGAGAAAAGAAGGACTAGGGGGGACATGATAGCAGTATTCCAGTATTTGAGGGGCTGCCACAAAGAAGAGGGTTCAACTTATTTTCCAGAGCACCAGAAAGTAAGACCAGAAACAATGGATGGAAACTAATCAAGGAGAGAAGCAACCTGTAATTAAGGAGAAACTTCCCGACAGTGAGAACAATTAACCAGTGGAATGGCTTGCCTTCTGAAGTTGTGGGTGTTTCATTTGCATACAGTTTACACCTGTAAATTTAGTGGTGCATATGCAAATTTAGAAAATGATTTTTATCGTAAACATAAATTCTTCCTCTGCATTCTCAATGGCATCTCCAAAGAATAGTCAAAGTCTGTACAAAGATGGACGGAAGATCATGATGCAATGTGTATGCAGTGTCAATGTAGGTTAAAAACAGGTGGAACTTGCATTGTGATGTTTTATTTGACATCTTGCCAGTGTTGACGGCTCTTGATCTTAAACTAGACAACCAATACTGAACAATCTTTATTATATTTAAATACTTAAGAATCTATCTTCCAAATTAAATAAGTTCCAAAGAACTAATTCTGTCATTACTTGCTCATCTATAATGCACACCAGCTTACCTATCTGGTTCCAATAGATACAGTATAAAATTATAATTTTATGCAAATTACTTGACTTTAAATTAAATGCCAGCTTTTTGCAGTAATAATAATTATGGCTGTAGCCTGGGTGTTATTTTTCCTTCCTTACAAAAAGGAAGGGGAAACATCTGGGTTAGGCTCCAGTTTTAAATCTGCTCAAATCTTCTCTTTGAATGCATAGAACTAGCTATGATTGTTATACTGCTCAAGCAAATTGAGCAGTGAGAGGGAAGAAAAAAATCTTGAGGGAATTAGAGCTGACTCTTTGATTAATATAACAGATGGTTGCCACCAACTAACATAATGAAAATGAAGATTGGAACAAATAAAAAGCAACGATCTGTGTCCAATGAGAGATTTCAAATGGCTCAAGTCCTTCATGCCAAGCATCAGCTTTTTTGAGTGTTGGGCTCTGAAGCTTTTTAAGAATTTAAGGCTCTGGGCTATTTGAACCTTCCCCCCTCCCTTTCTCCTCCATGCCTCCTATGCCAATGTCATTTTTTCCCAATGTCATTGGAATTCATTGCCCAGTACACCAAGCATGGTGGGGAAGCTGCCATGCTGGTATGACTCTTGAGATTTCTATTTTACTGCCTAGAATATAATGTAACAGTCATTTCAATGTGTACACTATAGTTTAGATATAGGTTAGGCTAAGCTAGGCTAAGATAAGAGGGGACAGATAATACAGGACAAGATAGGACAAGACAAGACAAGACAACTTTATTTTTTACTGTGAGCACACTCACATACATTAAAAATGAAAAATAAAGTATATATCTACCGATACCATACATAACACATACATACATGCTATATGCACACACACACACACACACACACACACACACACACATTAGTGTCCATTTTGAATACATAGTGGAAAGAGGAAACTTGAGAGTTTATATATTATATGGAACAAAGCTGTGGCTAAATCTAGATGTTCTGCTTCTGCTACTACAAAGCCTCTTCCCATATGTTACTTCTGGTACTCTCATATTAATGTTTTAATTGTATTTGCCATCTAGGTTGTTTCCGCAAGATGCCCAGACATTTGCACTAAATAAAAAAAAACCCCACAAAACAAAGATTCTTGAGAGTTGGTAAAACAATGATTTTTGATGGGCTGTAACACAGCGGTTGAGCACATGCTAGGCCCGCAGAAGATGCAAATTTCAAGAAAGGGAGAGAAAGGTACTATTTGGAAACTCAAGAGGCCACTGTCAAATTCAGTTGGCTGGATTAAAAGTCTGGTCCTGTGTGAAAAAGCATCCTATATTCTCTGCTGACTACAGTGGCTCCCTTTGTAACATACACTACATATATCGTATGCATGTAGAAAGGGGTGGGGCTTTGATTGAGCGGACACACCCACCATTTGACTTTTTAATCCTTCCTAGAGAGGCACCTTCAAACTCCTCTTCAAATTCCTCTTGTGTTTAGAAAGCTAGTATAAGATTTCATGTGCTCTTGGTATTTCCTATCCAAACTGTATGATGAGCATCCAAGACCTACAGATCATATCCAGAAAAATCCCCCTTTCTGAATGTAATGTATGGCACAGGTTTTATTATGCATCCCTAGTTCAGGATTTCGATTAGGATTCATGACAAATCCATCTTGAACGTGCATCCAAAACTTTTGTCTCTTTCTTATCAGTTCTCTCAGGCACCACTGTCTTTTAAAACAAATTATTAGTGGCAAGAAATCTGGACAAAATCTACCTCTGATATAATAGCAAAAGAAAATAAGCTGTTGTATTTAGGACTATTATTTATGTGGAGGCAGAGTAAATATCAATAATTAGCATTATGTATTGTGGGAAGTCAGCCCCTCCCCAGAGAAAGAAATATTTTGGGAATATTAAAATGGCAAAATATTATATTTCCCCAAAGGCAGAAAAGCAGACCCAGTTTTCTTAATAGCTCCAGGCAGAGGCCAGGTCTGTAGAAATGCAGATTTGATAACCCTATTCAGAAAGATTGGAACCAGGAAGCTAGAAGCTGATGAGATTAGAAAGACAAAGAGCCCTAAAATCTACATACCCCACCCAAACTCTAAAGACATGACCTTTAGGATGTAATAGGATTAATCCACCACCATCAAAATACCAAAAGGACATGCTCAAAAGCTCAGATCAAAGTTCATGCCACAGGAACAGGAAACAACCTCAAACACAAAAGCCCAAGAAGGTATAAAAACCCACCACTCCCAACTACATGTGGTCAGCTTTCCCAGAGCCACATTTTTGTCTGGCTCTGCTCTCCTCCTTTCTAAAGCAGTCTCCATTTTGTTTATTCCCAGCTTGGACTGGACCCTGATGAAGATTTTTCTTTCAACAGTATTAATAGGGTTAATATTAATACTTAATATTGCATATTAAGTTATTAAAATAAATAACCTAAAGTTATTAATACCAAAACATTTCTCCTTTTCCCTTGATACATTTGATTTCTTAAATTTCACCTTAACTTTTGATGCAGTGAAATTAAATTAGCTTCATTCAAACCTCATTAGCTTCAACACTACCTGGTTCTGACATATTAATTAATTGTCCAACTAGCCCCTGAATTAATTTCTTCCTTCCCATAACCTTTTCCCATCCCCCACTTCATTTAGAAAAAATATTGTCTTCTTTGAATGTTACCATTGAATAGGTTTGCATTTCACCCAGAGAATTATTTTTGAGTGTCATCTTTGGAAGGAAGCAAGGAAGGAAAAAAAAGAAGGGAAAGGGGAAAGAAACGGGTTAGAAAACTACAAGCAATCCTTCTACCAAATAATGTTTAAAAAGAACTACTTCTTTTTCTGTACTCTTTCATTTCTTCAGGATTAGATAATGGCAATTACTAAATAGGAAAAGCTCGTGATGTCATTACTTTCCACTAGTAACTCTTAAGCCTCCCCCCCCCTTTGTCCATCCTTTTGTTTGTTTGTTTATTTGGCTGAGAAGGGAGAGAATGAAAAATCGTGCAGTGTATTTGATTAGTAACCCTGGGAGCCTTCTGTCTGAATAAATCTTAATTGGTTGTGCCAAATAATATATTATGACATGGGTTGATCTGTTCTGTTTAACTCCTTTGTTTAACAAATGTGGAACCTTCAGATCAGTTGAGACCTTTTAGCCTAGAAAACTCCATGTTTGTTTCTCCTGGCATGCGGGAAGCACATCTCCAAATACTAATAGAGGAGGTCTTAACCATCTCCTGGTTGAGACCACCCAAGAGTTGTGTGGTTGAACAGTGCGAGAAGCAAAAGGTTGAACAAAAGTGGGCCTTGGTCTGTTGCACAAGGGATATTCTTATGTCCTTAGAGCAATGGGAGTGATAGTAAAATATTTTCTTCCTCTCCATCTTCACTAGTCTTCATTAAAAGAAATTCTATAAAGACATAAAGAAGAAACAGGGATGGCATGATAGCAGTATTCCAGTATTTGAGGGGCTGCCACAAAGAAGAGGGGGTCAAAGTGTTTTGCAAAGCACCAGAGGGCAGAACAAGTAACCTGAAATTAAGGAGAAACTTCCTAACAGTGAGGACAATTAACCAGTGGAACAGCTTGCCTTCAGAAATCGTGGGCGCTCCATCACTGGAGGTTTTTAAGAAGAGACTAGACAGTCACTTGTCTGAAATGGTATAGGTTCTCCTGCTTAAGCAGGGGGCTTGGCTAGAAGATCTCCAAGGTCCTTTCTAATTCTATTCTATTCTATTCTATTCTATTCTATTCTATTCTATTCTATTCTATTCTATATGGAATAGAATAGAATAGAGTAGAGTAGAGTAGAGTAGAATAGAATAGAATAGAATAGAATAGAATAGAATAGAATAGAATAGAAATTCTTTATTGACCAAATGTGATTGGACACACAAGGAATTTGTTTCCAGTGCATAAGCTCTCAGTGTATATACAAAACAACAAAGTGATATAATCATAATAATGATACCAATAAGAGAAGAGAGTAGAAAAGATGAGAAGGATAATAGTAATACAGCCATACTATATTTGGCAGGGAGGAGCTTTGGCTTCAGTCTTCCAAGGTCAATTCAGGGGGGCTTGCCCTCTTTCCTAACTGCAGAAAAAAAAGCATTGGAATTTAAACATCTGCTTAGAACCTCCTTCCTAAGCTGATTCTTTTTAGGGGTCCTGAATTATAACTCCCATTACTTCTTAAAATAACTTACCAAATCTGCTATTAGGCATTCTAGGGTA